TCACTTGCCATACGTCGTCTATAGAGCAGTTGACCAGCGGACAGGTTGAAGAGCTCTACTCTCCTTGTGTACATATCTCTTATCCAGTAAATCGAACCTACAAAATCTATACAGGTGTTTGTGTTCGCTCCTGTATATTGAACTTATTACCCAGAACACGAACATGGCGCAGTGAACCGGTTTTACTGGATAATTACGAGTGACAGTGCAAAGTTTGTGGAAAGCCGGCTTTAGCAACTTTGAGCAGTGTCAGTGACAGTGATTTTCTGTGAAGTGTTTAGTGCATTGTGTGTTTCGTGCCATACATGTGTGACCTTGTTCTAAAGGATTCCCAAGGTACACGGCATGTTCTGGGCATTTGTAAGGAGTAAAGTTTTCACATCCTCCTCTTGTCTTGCCTAAGGGGTAACTGACGCTCCTCGCCGTCTCCACCCCCCCTCACAGCTCGAGGCGGGACGCTCTCGCCCGCCTGGCACACACACATACATGTACTAACACACTGACATCGGCGATTGCCTTATATATATTTTATATATATAATCTACTTATCTGTGTATTTAATTAATTTTTTGTCTGAGATCTTGTTGATACGACGGGCTGACCGGTCAACACTGATTTAGACACAGTACACAGATGAAGTAGTTATGTCTCGTGCCTTACGTAGCCGTGGAGCCAGCGCCCGGATGAGTCAGTCGGATGATAGCTCCGCAGAGATGGATGACCAGGCTGACCATGACGCTCCAGCTCCCACAACATCGCGCAGCCCTTCACCTCGATATTCAGCGTTGTCTCCAGAGATAATTGCTTTAATGAAGTTTATGAGAGATGAAAGGCGCGAGGATGAAGCTAGCAGACGTGTGGCGGATGAACACAGAAGGCAAGCAGAGGCAGAACGAGACCACCAACGGAGAGTGGAAGACAGTGCACGGTTTGAAGCTTTGATATCTCGCCTCACTGTTAACCAAGCCCCTGGCTCTAACACTGCCTCGGTACTGAATGGTTCAGATACCTCATCAATGCTCTCTTCACGCCCACCAGCCCCACCTAAAGCAGCTGCTCAAACACCGCCCATCTTGAAGCCTGATGTGAATTTCCAGACTTTTCGTGAATGGCGGCGACGGTGGACTGATTATGCTACAATGGTGGATCTCCAGAGTTTGTCACAGCCTAAACAACTCATCCAGCTGCGTATGTGCCTGTCCTTGGAAATTCAGCGTGTCTTAGAACATACGCTGCAGGTACCTCCGACCTCTTCGCTGTCTGTAGAGGAGGTACTGGACATTCTACAACGGCACATCAAAGGACAGCAGAATGAAGCTCTGCGCAGGAGGGAATTGTTTAGCTGCAGACAGATGGAGGGTGAGACTTTTGACGCCTTTTATGTACGTCTTAAGAGAGCCTCGGAAGAGGTAGATATATGTCTAGGCCACCACCAGCAGTGCGAGGAGACCCAGTTGAAGCAGGTGATCCTGATGGGTGTTAAGGACGAGGAACTTGTCCAACGCCTCACCTCCCTCGACTCTTCCTCTTCTCTCAAGGATGTGTTGACGATATGTCGCTCCTATGAGGCTGCCAGGTGTGCCACCTCTGCCATCCGAGCTCCCCCTACAGCTGTACGCGCTGTGTCCCGGTACAAGAAGGACAAGAAGTCTGCTCCTACGCCTTCGCCCACCACGTCCACGCCCGGTTCATTTTGTAACAACTGTGGTAAGCAGCACGGAACACAGGTGTGTCCAGCTGCTGAGTCTACATGCAACAGTTGTGACCGTAAGGGCCACTGGTCACTCACAGTACGGTGCCCAGCCAAATGCGTCCAGTGCAATGTGTGCGGTCGTCTGGGCCACTACGACAAGTGTTGCCCTTCCAACAAACCCAAGGGACAGCGTCGGCGGAAGCTTCAGCTCCCTTCCACCAGAGAGGGCCGCCCGCAGTCTTTCAATCAAAAGCACGACGACCCTGGACAAAGCCCGACCCATATTAGGAGGGTGTACTCCTCGCGTCCCAGGACCAAAGTTTCCCAGCACGTCAGCGTCATCGTGACCTACGGCAATGTGTCATCCTGTCTCGAGATGCTGCCCGACACCGGCGCTGAGGCTACGGTCATCGGTCCCCAGCATTTGCAATGCTTGGGGCTCTCTCCAAGTGATCTAGGACCGCCCCCCAAGGATCTCCGCTTTACGGCAGATGGTTCACAGATGACCCCGACCCTAGGTTCACTCTATGCACATGTCACCTTTGGCAACAGGTCGTGTCAAGCCTGGATTGACGTGCATAATGGTGTCCCGACTCCTTTGCTGTCCTACAGACATTGTCAAGAGTTGGCCATCATTTCCCAGGACTTCCCAACACCGATTCTCGAGGTAAAATACGCCAACAGGGTGCACGAAAGGAGCAGCAACTACCCTGCTGCCGCCCTACCCCTACCTCTGGCCAGTGACACCTCTTCTTCCGTAGTTGTCCCTGCTGCTTCAAGTCTCCATCCCTTGGCTCGCCTCCACGACAGTCACTGTGGAGCCGAGGCCACCAAACGGCGTGCAAGACAGACTGTGTTCCGGCCTGGCATCGACCCCGACATCTCCAATGCTGTCCAGGTGTGTAAGCCCCGCCACGTACTACAACCCAGCCAGCAGCAGGAACCCTTCATGAGTGACAACAACCCCACCCGCCCCTTTGAGTCTGTGTCGGCCGACTTTTTCTCTGTGTCAGGAAAGTCCTTCCTTGTTATCGTCGACCGTCTCTCTGGTTGGCCGGTTGTCATCAAGTGCGGTAATGACACGACGTCTGCCGCCACCATCAGCAAGTTCCGCCACTACTTCCGTGACGTGGGCGTTCCTGTACGCCTGCGAACCGACGGAGGGCCTCAGTTCACAAGCCGGGACTTTGCTGTGTTCCTTGACCGATGGGGAGTCCGGCATGTGTTGTCATCGCCCCATTACCCGCAGTCCAACGGCCACGCTGAGGCTGCTGTCAAATCCTTGAAGCACCTCATCCTTAAGGTGGCCCCTTCTGGGAATATTGACTGCGAGGCCTTCGACCGGGGTCTTCTTGAACTCCGCAACACACCTAACTACACCGGACGCTCCCCTGCCCAGGTTCGCCCCTTCGTTCTTGTGTCCCTGCTCACCCTCAATCCTTCTCCAAGGAGTGGCAGGCCAAGACAGAGGATTGTGATCGCCGAGCCGCCGAACGTGTTCAGGACGTCGTCGCCCGCTACAACGACCACGCCCGTTCTCTCCCCAGGTTGAGTGTCGGCACCCAAGTCCGTGTTCAGGACCCGACCTCCCTACGTTGGGACAAAGTAGGCGTAGTCATGGGTCTCGGTAGGTCACGGGACTACCAGGTGCGGTTACCCAGTGGTCGTGTGTGGTGGAGGAACCGCCGTTTTCTCCGCCCCGTAACAATGCCTTCTGCTGACCCCGCCACCAGTGTTGAGTCCCATACCCTTCCCAGTGATCTAGTCCCTCGACGCTCAGAACGGATCCAAAAGAAAAGGTCCGCTCAAGACTTTGCTATGAGCGTATAGGGGGGAGGGAGGTGTATGTATATTCTGTATGCTGTATTTATATTATGCTATGTATATTATGTATGTGCTCCATTTATGTATTATTTATTTAGCCTAGCTAGTAGCGTGTGGCAATGTATTTATCAATGTCCCACATGCTTAATTAATGTGCCTGGCGACGTATGAAAGCTGCTAATGTATCACTTGCCATACGTCGTCTATAGAGCAGTTGACCAGCGGACAGGTTGAAGAGCGCTACTCTCCTTGTGTACATATCTCTTATCCAGTAAATCGAACCTACAAAATCTATACAGGTGTTTGTGTTCGCTCCTGTATATTGAACTTATTACCCAGAACACGAACATAGAGTTCCTATTGTCTCTAGTGCACGAGCAAGGCAGGTCTATCCCGACCCTCTCCGTCCAGTTGGCTGCCCTCACCGACCCCCTGGATTACGGATGCAGGGTCAAGGTTAACAACAGGTTGGTTACCCTGCTGAAGCGGGGCCTGTTCCACCAGCGACCACCTGCTAGACCACCCCGTACCTTTCTGGTCCTTGGAGAAAGTCCCCACTCTTCTGGGCTCGGTAAGTCGTACTCCTTCAGTCCTGTGAACTTTTTTAACAATCTAGCCTGAGGGTCACTGGCCTTATGTTGTCTGTTTTTCCTCGTAGCACTGGTCACGGGCTTCAGGTCCTCCCAGCTCAAGGCACTCCGAGATTCGAACCACGGGACCTCCTTCGTCCAAGGAGATTTTGCAGTGTCCCTGGCACCTTCCCCCACCTCCCTGGCGAAAAATGAGCAGGAGAACCACAGGCTCTAGCCAGTAGTGGTTCCGGCATGGAAGGTGGAGGACAAGCACCACTGACTCTGCCCGGTAGGGACCCTCCTCCAATACCTCTTTGCTACGGCTACACTACCAGCCAGTATCATCTCTTCGTTCATCCTCGGTCGGGCTGCCCGCTGTTAGTCAGAGGATTGGCAGACAGGTTGTGGCAGGTTATAGAGGAGGCTGACCCTGGGAAGGCCCCACGTTCCCACAACGTACGGGGTGTAGCGGCTTCACTGACCTTCCTGAAGACCCACTCCCTCTCACAGGTCCGGGTAAGGGGTCAGTGGAAATCGGCCTCCTGCTTCATAGCAAGATTCCTGTCTCACCAGGTGTCAGACGCACCCTTCGTGGCAATTGGTCTCACCCCTCGACCAACAGACAGCACTCTAAAAAAAACTACTTTATGTAGCTTAATCTAAGAATAAATAAAATTCAAATGGTTCTGCCTGTGCTCACTGCCAATTTCCTTTTCCTTGTCACGTTTTCTTCTACTACTAGTGCAGCCTAGACTATTCTAGATGTGCTAAAATTGGACCTGTCACCACCTAAGGGTAATATCTTATGAGATCTAATAGCAAGTGCACTAGCTTCGCTCACTCACCAAAAATAGACTTTTCAGCACGCTTCACAGCCCCTAATATATACAATCTTATCATGTTCACAGTACCTGAGGCAGGTCTGGCAGGGCATTCTTCCCACTGTCCAGGAAACTATCGTTGGAAGCCACGTCCATTCTCTGCAACCTCACCACCATCACCTCCTCGGCCACCCCTGAAGAAACCGAAATCAAAAGATTCAACACCCTGACTCTAGATTACCAGAATTATGTATATCTTTGTCAAAGTACGATTCCTTTGTATTCCAAAGAACAAGATAATATCCAAATAAACATGAAACTTTCAGAAATTCTTGGGCCACATGACAAGAATGACAGAAACAAGTGATTAATCAGACATCTCACTTAAAAGGAATATACAAGCGCTTTGTGTCAAATTGAATTCACCTATTTTTACTCACTTTTTTTCTGATAACACACAAGTAAGTTAGTTCCAGTGAATAGGTAACATTAGCAGTTAAACTCAACAGTTTTCCATTAACTCTATAGCACTTGAATCTCTTAAGTATCACACAGGTGTCACACTTACCAGGTAGGGCGAGTGCCTGTAGGATAGCCAGGGTGTAGAAGACAGTGATTCCTAGTAACATTGTTGCTGATAGAGACCACCGCCTTCACTTAATAATGTGAGACTTATTACTGGAATAATAAAGGGCAAATGTCATTGCGGGAATCGATACAATTGAGCGTGATTTGTTGAAGAGAAAGTTTGGTTAATAACCAAAGAGTTTATAAGTACAAAAAAGTCTTTAATGTGACAAAAGGTTTAATTTTTTTCCGATACTTTCATACATAGAAAAACTTCAACTCTATCCAATTTGACTATATTCCTTCCATTTTATTATAGTTCATTTAAAAGAAAATGTTAGTATCCACAGATGTGATACTGCGTCTCTCAGGTGGGTATTCAAAGCCTTACAGTCAGTAATATACAATTTATTCATTTCTAAAAGATAATGATCCTTTTGCTATCATCTATGGGTTAGATGACACATTTATTGACTAATCAACAATAAATAGCATTTTATCCTTAGATAGAATCTCTACAGTAAAAAAATATAAACAAAAAATAGGGTTATAATTATTTATATAACTTATGAAATGGGCATAATGTGTTGTCTATGGTAGACCCTGCTGTCACATGACATCACGAATATTGTGACCAAGTCCCAGGTTGCTGATCTGACTTTCTGCCTCATTTGCACACAATTGAAGGGTCTCAATTTTTTCTCTTACTATTGACAACACAACATACATCTATATTGTTTCTCACTTATTATTATTATTATTATTATTATTATTATTATTATTATTGTTTAATTATTATATCTTATTTTTTATTAATTTTGTTATTTATTATTATTATTATTATTATTATTATTATTATTATTATTATTATTATTATTATTATTATTATCATTATTATTATTATTATTATTATTATTATTATTATTATTATTACATTTTCGCCCCCATAGCCCGATTTGGGCTAGTGACCTGTGCCCGTGGGCTAATCTCTGTAAAAAAATTATATATATATATATATATATATATATATATATATATATATATATATATATATATATATATATATATATATATATATATAAAGCAAGAAGCGTAGGGGCGATACACTCGACCGCCTTCACTTCCCCAACTTGTAAAGTTAGGTACCCATTTACAGCTGGTTTGACTGGAAGTACTCCGGTATCGAACTAGCAATCCCAAGGACACTCCATGTAAAGTATCGCCTCCCCTTTAAAAAGACCCTTTTTTAACGTAGATACAAGTTTTGTATATAAACATATTTCTCTAATATATAATATCCTGGCCAGCAAGTCATATAAGATAACCCCCTACCACTCCCCAATGTTTTTCCTGATAATATTAAGATTTTATAAAAAGATGGCCACACTAAACTTAGGGAACGACAGCATCACTGAGGTCATAATCATTTTACCAGATTATCTTACAGGCTGTTCCAACAGAGGCAACAGGTCATAGGTCGAATTTTCCATTATAATTAATGATGCAGGCAAGAGATGATAATTTATTATTTCCTTTTAGATTTAGTTGTCTCCAGGTAAGCTTCCTGGTTGTCTTAGTACTGTTCATTGTAGTGGTTTACTGCAGGGGTCTTAAACGCGTAGGGAGATGTCGCCTAAAACGACAAGTAAACCTTAATCCAGTGTTTGCAGATAATGTTTTTTTTCTTATACTCATACCATAAAAATAATAACACCATCAGTAGTAAAAGATTGGTGAACGTCATCTGCTGTGAAATGGGTGGAAGCAACCGCTAATCTTTATTGATCGCTCATGCCAGTACGGTTTTTAAGGCGTGTCTTTTGAGTGTTGTCGAGACCTGGGCCGAGATTCACAAACGGGTTACGAACTTTGTAAGTGCTTAAGGATTTCATATCTTCTGAGGTGATGATTCACAAAAGAGTTATGAAGTCCACAACACCATTTAAAATGGCTGACTTTTCCTCGTAACTTATGGTGGCTCCGGGGGTCTCATATGCTTCTGCAAGGCGGAAGTAAGGTCATGTAGCTCTTGTTTTCTCTGCTATACAACCCGTACCAAAGCCCACACAGTTACCAGACGTACTTCAAGCGTCACTAGTGAAGATGGAACTAATGAATGAATAATACTGAGGAGATGGTCAACACAGGAGTCGTTTGATGTCGTTAATTTTTTCCACGGTTGTTCTAGTTAATATAGTAAGTATTATAAAAGAGGCGAAAACCTTTTTATTTAAATTATAAGTATTTTGTTGTTGTTTTTTTCTCTATGATCATAAACCACCTGAGGATGGGGGAACTGCGGGGTAAAATGTGGTGAAAAACTGATAATAAGACACTAAAATGATGTCTGTACGTGCTTTGGTACGTGAAGGAATTACTTATTTCCTGTAAATACTCCTCCAAAAAATCTGCCGATTCGGCTCATGTTCCTCTGCCCTGTATGTTTACAACCGACTTGCTCGACCCGAGTATGATCTCATGTACCCCACACACACACACACACACACACACACATACACACACACACACACAAAAGTAAAATAACACTATGACGCTTTAACAACGTTTTTTTCATTGGTACCAGATATCAAAACAAGTACTTACTGTAAATATGGCGGGTCCGTCCCCCGTTTAGGAAGTCAGGTAACCCTAGGCAGGTATCTCTGTTTCCGTTAGGATGTTAGGTAAGTTTCTTTAGTTGGTTAGGTCAGGTTCTGTTTGGTTCTAATAGTTGTCTCATTGTCGCTTCTTTTAAAATACTTACTATAATGATAAGAACATCTGTGGAAAAAAATGAACGAAATTGAACAACACTTTTTTTTTTTTTTTTAGTTTAAGTTGGGGAATGAATGGAAGGCACAGCCAGACATGAGGGATGGAGAAGTCACAACATATAGTCGTGGGGGGAAAGGTTGGAAAAGAAGTTTAATGAGTTAAACAGAGGGGGACGACACCCCTTGTTTTACATATTACAGAGTTTGTTGGCTAACTAAGCTAACCTAGGATTTAGGATGAGGTTGCACAATGGTCACTTTAGTAGACAATGACTAGATTGATTTTACAATTACAAGTTTATTAAAATTATATACTGTATTACGTTATGGACTCACTAGATTGTAACTTGTTAAATGTGAATTTATATCATCTAAATTTTAATCTAAGGTGGATCACTGTGGCGGACATAGATGGGTCGCGAGTTGGGTTGTTGTAGTGCGGGCAGACTCCGGGGCCACCAGGCGTGGGGTCGCCCTCCGTTGATGTCTTTCCCGTGTAGGTGGTCTGGGCTGTGAGGGTCGTCCAGGAGCTTGTCCCAAACCTTCTTCCCTAGACGATGGAACCTGACGTTGAGGGCCTCTGTTTTATTTCTCAGGTGGATGGTTTCCACTGCCTCTTGGTAGGGTGGCGCTTGGCCACTGGCTGACCTCAAACACTTGTTTTGGAAGCTCTGTAGTTGTTGTAGTCTAGTCTTCCCGAGTGTGACGAGTGGTATAGATGGGTACTCCAACACAGGCCTCACCAGCGCCTTGTACAGGTGAACTTGTATCTTCTCAGGCATTAGATTAAAACGTTTTAATTTGGCTGCGGCGACTTTGGCTTTATTTAGTCTGTCCTTCACGTGGGGAATGATGCCCGTCCGAGAAATGATGAGGCAGAGCAACCTGCCTTGTTTAGAGTACTCAATCTCTTCGTCGTCGATCGTCAATGGCGCCGGCTTGAATTTGGCTATGGGTATGACCTCGAATTTCGTTTTGTTTGTTTTTATTTTCCATTTATTTTCATACTCCGAGATCTCCTCTATTGCCCGAGCAGTGAGTCGCGCCATCCTTGCTGTGGACCTTCCTGGGCAGGTGACGATCTGTGTTACATCGTCGGCATACATGACGTACTCGCTGCAGACGATTGGGGGTGGCAGGTCAGCCGTGTAGTGTGTGTAAAGGGTTGGTGAGAGACAAGAGCCCTGAGGCACGCCGCTCGATAGTGAGAATTCTTCTCCAAAATGTTCTTGCATCTTGATTTTGGCTCTGCGGTCCATAATGAAGTTGCACAGCAGGCGCGTCAGATTTTCGGGTAGCCCCAGTTGCATGATCTTATACTGCAGCCCCGCGTGCCAAATTTGTCAAACGCCTTGCTGACACCCCTCAGTACTATATTGCACTGCAGGCGGCCAGTCATGGCATTGGCGATCTGCTCGTAGGCCTGAGCTATGGCGGTGGATGTGCCTCGGTACTGGCGGAAGCCGAACTGGCGGGGATTATGCACGTCTTCGTCCTCCAGATACATCCGCAACTGCTTGTTTACTATTTTTTCGAAGATTTTAGCAGGTACCTCTCGCAGCGATATTGGTCGAAAGTTTTCGACTTTGTTTGGAGGCTTCCCTGCTTTTGGTATGAGGCGAATAACGGCGATTTTGAACATCTTAGGGAAGTATCCAGAAGCGAGGCAGTCGTTGCATATATGAAGAAAATTTGATGTGAGAATCTTGTGGCAGCTGTGGTTGTAGTTTAGTTGTCAATTCATTAATATAATTTTCTTCATTATTTAAGCAAATATACAAACATTTGGAAACGTCTCATGACTTTAAATAACAACGAATAGTTTATCTAATAATTATCCTGATAGTGATACAGCCGAAAACAATCACCTTTACATACAGCCTTCCTTAGCCAAGTATTGCCAGGTAAAATGGAGAGCACGAGACCCAGGGTGGGGTCGGTGCATCTTTGGCTGACTGTACATATGTGGTGGTGGGAATAAGTTAATGAATGTTCTAGGTTTAGGTTTTGACCTGTTAACTTGGCGTTTGTTGGGAGAACTTGGCATTAAGAATATAATAATAATTACTGATATATTTGAAAGACTTATGTGATTTGTGTTTATGTAACGATCTACCCTAGGGTCGTAACAACAGTTTTAACTCCCTACAGCTGAAGACACGAATTCTGAGTCTGCCATAGGCTTGAGATGCACGTCTGATCCGATGTTGAATCTCTTCATCGATGTCCGCTGTGGTGGACAGGTGGGAGCCGAGATACCGAAAATTAATAACAATCGAGAGTGTAGTAGCGTTAAGCTGGATGGATGATGGAGGTGTGGCTGAACCAGGGGCATGTTGAAAGAGAATCTGAGTCTTACATACATTCACCTCTGGCCGAAGAGTGCATATGAATATAAGAACATAAGAATGGAGGAAACTGCAGCGTGTCTATTGGCCCATACTGGGCAGTCCCATTTGCACCCAACCCCTATTGCTCATAGAAGCATCCAACCTATGCTTGAAGCTATCAATCGTATTCGAGTTAATGATGCTATTTGGTAACTTGTTCCACTCGTCCACTACCCTATTTTCGAACCAATGTTTACCTATTTCGCGCCTAAATCTAAATTTTCTAATTTAAAACCATTGTTACGAGTTGGCTCCTGGTTGGATAGTTTGAGTACCTTACTAATGTCCCCATTGTTTAGCCCTGACTTCCATTTATACACCTCTATCATATCGCCCCTCACTCTAAGTCTCTTGAGGGAGTGCAAATTAAGATGTTTTAACCTGTTTCTGTACTCAAGGTTCCTATACCTGGGAATAATCTTGTCATTCTCCTCTGAATTCTATATCCATTCCGTAATACTGTGACAAGAATTGAACTGCGTAATCCAAGTGAGAGCTCACAAGAGCAAGATACAGTTTTAGGATGACCTCTCTAGTTTTTAAACAACACTCCTTGTATGAACCCTAGTACTTTATTAGCCTTGTTTCGAGCAAATACACATTGTTTATTTGGCTTAAGATTCTTACTTACCATTACTCCTAAATCATTCTCACATTCGGATTTCTCTATAACAACGTTGTTCATCTAACATCTGGTTTCTCTGTTTACACCTCCTTGACTAAGTACATTACATTTGTCCACAATGAATTTCATCTGCCATTTTTCAGATCATTCGAATTTTTTTTTAGATCTTCCTGTACTTTTGCAGAGTCCTCGTCAGTTTTAATCACACGCCCTACTTTAGTGTCGATATCTATGTCGTTGGAACACTGCTGTGTCAAATGGTGTAGCTCTTATTGGCGACCTGGGGTGCAATGGCAAGCATGCTCGCCTCGCCAGCAAGCGGACCCGGGTTTGATCCCAGAGAAAGGTGAAACTATGGGCAAGTTTCTTTACAGGCGGCTCATTCGCTAGGCCACGGTAGGACGCCACCCTCCGGGAGGCTCCACATTGTCTCACTGTTCAGTCCCTAAAGCTTCTTCTTCCATGAATAGTTCATTAACGGTGTATGTAAGTTCCACCATGTTTGTCACTACAACGGTACAGCAAAGTATATTTTTTAGCATTAAACTGTTATTATTTTATTGTCTAATCTTCACTACATATAACACCACCCGTCATCACTACATATAACACCATCCATCATCACTACATATAACATCATCCATCATCACTACATATAACACCATCCATCATCACTACATATAACACCACCCATCATTACTATAACACCATCCATCATCACTACATATAACACCACCCATCATCACTACATATAACACCATCCATCATCACTACATATGACACCATCCATCATCACTACATATGACACCATCCATCATCACTACATATAACACCATCCATCATTACTATAACACCATCCATCATCACTACATATAACACCACCCGTCATCACTACATATAACACCACCCATCATCACTACATATAACACCATCCATCATCACTACATATGACACCATCCATCATCACTACATATGACACCATCCATCATCACTACATATAACACCACCCATCTTTACTATAACACCATCCATCATCACTACATATAACACCACCCGTCATCACTACATATAACACCATCCATCATCACTACATATAACATCATCCATCATCACTACATATAACACCATCCATCATCACTACATATAACACCACCCATCATCACTATATAACACCATCCATCATCACTACATATAACATATCATCACTACATATAACACCATCCATCATCACTACATATAACACCACCCATCATCATATATAACACATCCATCATCACTACATCATCCATCACTACATCACCATCATCATCACTACATATAACACCATCCATCATCACTACATATAACACCATCCATCATCACTACATATAACACCATCCATCATCACTACATATAACACCATCCATCATCACTACATATAACACCATCCATCATCACTACATATAACACCATCCATCATCACTACATATAACACCACCATCATCACTACATATAACACCACATCATCACTACATATAACACCATCATTACCATACTCACATATAACACATCATCACTACATATAACACCATCCATCATTACTACATATAACACCACCCATCATTACTACATATAACACCACCATCATCACTACATATAACACCATCCATCATCACTACATATAACACCATCCATCATCACTACATATAACACCACCCATCATCACTACGGATCAGTAAAGTAGTTTCCGAGATCCTCGTGCGGACACACACACAAACAGGCAGACTCCGCTGATTTACTTGCATATATTCATAATTACCTAGAATGCTCTGCTTCACCTGCTTTACATTTTTTCTCAAAATCATGCAAAAGAATACGTCTAAACGAGGTTTCTGTAAATTAGTGTATCGTACTGTATGCCTTGACTTTTCTACTTTTATTTATTAGAAACAAAATTATGTAGTACACAACATTGTGATGTGATGTAGAGATTGAGGATGTAAACATTCGGTGATAGTGTAGTTATAATCCTCACACTGTCCACTCAGGATATGCCGACGATGTCCTCCTCCAAGCCCCTGACTACCTCAGCATGCAGGAAGCCCTTGATCTGGTCTCCAGAGAGTGTGATTCACTTGGTTTCCTTCTTTCAACTGCGAAAACAAAAGCCATGTGGCACGGTCGTGTTGTACCTCCACCCCTTTTCTTATCAGGAACGACCTTGGACTGGGTTCATGAGACAAAATACCTGGGTGTGTATGTAACTCGCACACGTTGTCAGATCCCTGAAGTCCGCTATCTTCGAGACATATGTTTTCGGCGTCTCGCTCCCCTCTCTACCATGTGCAGGGGTTCCCTTGGTGCCAGCATCCCTGTACTTCTCACCATGTACAAGTCTTTTGTCCGTTCCTGTGTCGACTACGCCGCCCCTGCCCTCGTCAACATTAGTCGGACTGCTGTCAACCGTCTCGAAGTTATCCAGAGGAAAGCTGCTCGTATCATCCTTGGGGCTCCTCAGTGGACACGCTCTACTTCTCTATATAACGAACTTGGTCTTTCCCCCTTACAGGATCGTGTCCAGGAGTTTTACCTAAAAACTGCCGTTTCCATTCTACGGGATCCTAGGGGCAACTATGTCCAAACCAACTTGACTACTGCTGTTCGAGACCGACCTCCATCTAGAAGACAGTGGCGAGGGTCACTCATCCGAGCCCTTCAGGAACACGACCTCCTGCCTGATATTGTTGTCACCCCTGCTGTTGGTTCGTCTCCTTCTCCCTGGCTGGATTTTCAACCTGAAGTGATTGCCCTCGGTGGACCGCTCCCGAAATCCCAGGTGAACCCTGTTATTCTCTGCAAATACCACCTCTCCAGGATCGCTCACTGGTCCCCAGGTAGGGTCGTCCTCTACACTGATGGTTCTGTTGACCCCGCTACAGGTAGGGCCGGGGCTGGTGTCTACATCTCCCGTCCTCATGCCCCTGAGCCTATCAAACTGTCTCTCAGAGTTTCTGACGGGGCATCCTCTACTCAGGCTGAACTAATAGCCCTCCTTGCTGCCCTTCTCGCTGAGGAAGAAGCAGATGGTTTCTGCCCCTTGCTTGTCTGCTGCGATTCCAGGTCTGCTCTCGACGGGATCGCATTTGGATCTGGGGAATATAAGGACCTAATCCTCCGAATACGAGGGTTAACATCCACACTTCAGGATGCAGGCCGCCCTGTGACATTCCTATGGATACCCAGTCATGTCGGTATCTTGGGGAATGAGGCAGCAGATGACCTTGCCAAGACTGGCTGCAACAAGGCCACACCTGACTACATTGTTCCTCGAACACTCTTACAGATTAGGACCCAAATCCGCCGCAAACAGAGAGAAGCTCGGGAAGCAGCCATCCCCCTGGACTCCCCGCCCACATGGTACGATGTCCTCCGTAAACTTCCTGACCTCTCGTAAGTCTACGGGAAAGGGTCGCGGAAGGGGGACGTGATTGCTGCCCGTATCATCATTGGGTATGACTTTGCTTGGGAGATTGGTATCCCTACATCCCCTGAGCAACGCTCTTGTGCGTTATGCAGAAGACCCGACAGCCGCACCCTTATTCACTACCTCCTAAGATGTCCCCACACACAACGCTTCCGTGACGCCTGCTGGACCACCACTCCAAGACCCCCTGACGGAGACACGATGATCCTCCCAATACTGGCCAGATATTTTGTAAATAATATTGATTATGTGTTAAAGGAACATCCTTCCTTCCTTAGGCTTTAGTAAGCCCCTTTATAATATTTATACTGTATATACTTTTCACACTTGCCAGATGATTCTGGTGTCATTGTACAGGGGTACCTAGTGACAGCACTAGGATCCCGCTTCCTCTATCAAGGAATAAACAATTGAAATTGAATTGAATTGAATCCTCACACGGTCATCACGATACTGGATAATCAGGTATAGAAACACATATTGAACTTATGAGTGGAGAGATGTTTTTCTCGGTGAGGTAAACAGCGATATATGTTATCTCAATAATGTTCACAACGATAGATATTTTTTCGGCGAAATATATAGCCATTGCTACGGACGAAATGCTGAAACAAGATTTTTTTTTAATTACCCAATAGAATGACGTGAAATGCAATATAATCTAAGCTCGTTTCAGTAACAACAAATATTAATAACTCTTGCCACACGAAATATCATATCAGCCTACGAGATTAAACTTATATAAATAAATACAATGACAGGACACTCACAAGTCTCCTAAACGTTGCTTGGCAGAGCCTTACTGTACATATGAAGACAACGTGCAGGTTCCAGATGGATGATGACAGTGAGAGGCGCAACTGAGGAATGATGCCTCGGTCCAGGAGTATCGCTGACTAGCCAAGATGCGTGAGCGAATTGATTGATTGATTTTATGTCACTAAAACCAAGTTAAAGGTCCATCATTGGTCCGCACTTAAACAAGGCGTTTTTCTCATACGTTGTCGGGTGGTCAAGCTGCTAGAGAACTGTGATTGGTTCTTGTAAACTATTTTCATTTGCGATCTTAACAAAAGACATTGAGAAAGTATCAGAATTAGTAAGGGACATCAGATTAGGTTACGTTAGGTTAAGTTTAAGTGAAAATGGAGAAGATATGCTGACGAAAAAGTAGAGAGCTGATTTGATAAGAAAGGGAAACAAAAAGGTGTGGGGGCATAAAAACAGAAAGAAGGGAAGACGAAAGAGTGAATTAAAAGGAGGGATGACAGGAAATAAAGAGATATTAGAATGAACAGATATAAGTGAAGAGGCTACATAAGGGAGGAACAGGATGGTGTGTGTGTGTGTGTCTATGTGTGTGTAATAATAATAAATAATAATAATTAACGGTTTATTGAAAAAGTTCTGCAGCCCGAAGGCTGAAGATATACATTGGACATAAATGACTTATTACATACATTGACATTGGTGGTTTAACAAAAGCCTTCATTAAAGAAAGGTAAAGGAACATACAGTGAACATACAGATTAATGTTTACAGTGGAGGTCACGTAGATCATGTGAGCTGAGGTGTTGAACAGCAGACACGTAGTGCAGTAACTCTTTCACAGATGGCGTTATGAGGGGCATCACGTTAAGTAGTAATTCCCTAACAGGTGGTGTTATGAGGGGCATCACATGGAGTAGTAGTTCCCTCACAGATGGTGTATGAGGGGCCTGATGATGTAGTAATTCCCTCACAGATGGTGTTATGAGGGGCCTCATGTGGTGTAGTAATTCCCTCACAGATGGTGTATGAGGGGCCTGATGTGGTGTAGTAATTCCTTCACAGATGGTGTTATGAGGGGCATCACATGGCGTAGTAATTCCCTTATGGATGGTGTTATGAGGGGCAGCACGTGGTGTAGTAATTCCCTCACAGATGGTGTTTTGAGGGGCCTCACATGATGCTGTAGCAATTCATTCACTACGTGGTGTCGTAGCATCATGGGGACACCACGTGGTCTGGTGTCACAGGACCACACCTCACTCAAGTGAGTGAGGTGTGGTCCCAGGCCTCCCTATCGTGTGTCTGTGTGTGTCTGTCTATCTCTCTGTCTATCTGTCTGATTCTCTGTCTGTCTGTCTGTCTGTGTAATTATAATTATAGTAATACTCTAACAGTTTATTTCAGCTGAGAGTGTGAAGGTCTACTGGGTGTGAAGGTCTACCGGGTGTGAAGGTCTACCGGGACAGATACATTCGCTTTTGGGTGATCTTTAAAATTTTCTTTAATGAAAAATTAATATTGTCTCATTATTATCTAAATAAATGAGTACATATAAATATATTGCTCAATAATATATTAATTGCAGTTATATACTCTATATTACACAAATATTAAAACATCACTTAATTCACACACTCTCATAACATGTGGTCTAAGTTAACCATCCACAATAGTACTTCTCGGTGTGTTTTTACCCTACAGCCAATAAACATAATGAAAACTTTTTAGCTGATGATAAAGTTTCATATATTTAGCAATTGTGTTAAACATTAAGTGGGAATGAATGTACGTAGTAAAACAGGTTATAATTCAAACGAAGTGTTAAAGATTAACCTGGGTGTTTTCCAGGTTCCTTGGGTCGTGAATATAATCGATTCCAAATTGAGGTAAAAAAATCAATTCCCTAACGGTCCCCAGGGGCCCCTCAGAGGCCCCCAAAGACCCCGAGATAAAAGAGTCATAACCTTCATATTGTTTGTCTGATTTAGACATATGACAATCTATGGATAGATATTGGAAAGATGGATATAATATAATAGAGGATGTTTTTAAACATGGCTGCCGTGTTTACCTTTTAACCGAATTTTGATTTCGTGGGGCATTTTCCAATGGTTTTCCTTGAAAAACTGTTCCGGCATTAAAAATAAATAAAATGATATTGCTGTGGTCAAGTTATTTTAAAGCAACATCAAAATAGGGTTTAAAATGATGGATAAAAGAAATATTCACCAATTCCAGAAACTGGCTGCTCAAACTGACGTTGCCTCATGAATAACAATTCCTCAACTGTCTGTCAGGCTGAATGGTTCACATTTTGCGTGTTCAAGGATAACTCACCATGCACAAGATATTCTTCCGATGAATACTCTAAGGAAGACGAGTGGGCGAGAATAGTGACCCCCATACTCAAAGATCAAGAGGAGGTGAATGAAGAGCTTTGCACCACATGGTCTGCTCAACATGGTGACATAGTTCATACCATGCAGTTGATTATCAAGAGCACAGTCTACCTAAACTCGGGGTAGGTGCCTATCATCACGGGAGACCAACCAGTCTACGCGAAGATGAAAAAGCTTCATTGGGCTTACCCTAAAGTAGTCAATAATATGGTTGTCAACACGAAGGATTCCACTTGGAGAAGGAGACATTGAAGTCTCTGGTTGACTTCTTATGAGGTTCAGGTTGGTCATCATTGCTGAAGTCGGAATGCAAACTTCAGGAACTACCGATGCCCTCCTTAATGCAAAGCATGTAACACATTTAAGGTATTGCCGGGAAGCACCTGAAGACTCCAGAGTTTCCGTTGAACAAATGGGCCGCTTCCATGGCAGCACTTTCATCTTTCACCTTTTGGACCCACCTTATGAAGTTCCAGACAATCCTGTTGACTTTCATGTGGGAGTGGGAGTGGGGGGGTGAACGTTCTGTATGAAGCCAAGGCTACGACTTCCATCGAGTCAGGAGTAGTGGTAGACGGTGCATCGAAACTATGGCTCGTGAGTGTACAACTAGCTCATGAAGAAAAGATCATTCAAACCAGATTCACCAACCGTATACGAATTCATAAAAAACACACAGCTGGAGCCTACACGCCACAGTGTTATATAGAAACCTCAAATAGTAATTTAAGGAAAAGTGCAAAATAAAATACAATGAGAATTGGAATCAACTAATCACCAACACACATTCAGACCACAAAGATCCAAAAGCCTTCTGGACCAAAGTTAAAAATCTCATGGGTACCAACTCAGCAGGAAACAGCCACCTTAGAGACAACAACGGCAAAAGGATATCAGAACCGAAGCTCAAAGAACCAATATTTAGAACAGTTTGGAGCGGCATTTATCAAATCACGGATGAGGACAACCGAAACTTCTGCAGAGAAACAGAACAGACGGTGAAAACACACCTGAATCAAAACACAAGCAAATGGCAACACTACAGGATAAACAACCTCAACACGATAGGCAACAACAACCCACTAATTACTCCAATAACCACACATATGACATCAAAGAAACAATTGCCAGCTTCAAGAATAAATCACCCGGAATAAGTCAGATAAACAAAACCGAACTGCTAAACAAACCTCCACCAAAGACCAAACAGCCCGAAGATATCCACGATGCATCAACAGCAGCCGGATTCCTCCCAACAAAATTCAAAATTTCCAAAATAAGACTCATACTAAAACTAGGAAAGAACCTAGCACAGGCAGAAAACTACAGACACATGTCACTCCTCGAAACACCCAGCAAATCCTGGAAAATATAATAAACCTGAGACTAAGAAACTACCTCGACAATTAAATTCGATACAACCGAGGCACCATCGCAAATGCAGCCAGCAACAGAACCCAATGCAACATAGTACTTAGAGATGTCATCAAAGCCTTCGATAAAGTATGGCATGAAGGACTTAATTATAAGCTCACCCAACTTAACATGCCACCCAACATCACGGAACACCTTTGCAACTCCTTCTACAACAGACAAGCCAAACTCATCAACGACAACTAGATTGGAAAAAATTTCACCCTTCACGTGACATAACTCAAATCGTACAATACCCAGGGAAATCGAAACTACAGTATAAATAATTACGAATGGAAATGGAAAATCAAAACAAACACATAAAAACTGAAGATAATTCATATAGCAAAACCCAGACCCTGCCCCATCATTGTCAACAACCAAAATATACCATATGCAGAAAATGGGAAAATCCCTGGCCTCAAAATTACAAGAAACGGCATACTCCCACATACATGTAAAAGAAAGATTCGCAATAGCCAAGACCCAACAACTAAACCCAGAAGATTCCGTTAACTAAACACCAGACCACAAATACACTTTTATAAAGCACTAGTCAGACCACACCTGGAATATCCCCCAATTCCTCTCAACCTATAACAAAAACAAATAACTCAAAATACAGTCAGTCCAAAACATAGCCTTCAGAAGAGCAGCAAAACTCAGACCACCATATACAAAAACTGCCAGCGAGCTACACACAAAACATAACCTAACCACAATCAACACCTGTACGCACAATCAAGCATTAGCGTTATGAAAAAAAACTACTAGGATCCCGTATTACAGCGACTAATGCAAGAAGACATACCACAACACACAGCTGGTGGCCAAAGAGCACAGTAGACGATAACACACAACCTGAACCAATATATACCCAATAAAAACTACGATACACAAAAAGGTAGTAAATGAAAAGATGGGGATACCCCATCAGACGTACAAGGACCTGAAGAACCCACTACCCCCCCAAAAAAAAAACTACAGAAACTACAGTACCTTAGCTTAGCTTGTCTATACTCTTGCCGGAGTGCACCTGCCGGAATGTTCTCGTGGCAGACATAACCCCGTACCCGCAAGGTGGATAGCCCATCTCCTATCAAATCTCCCACTTTTTTCCCACTGCCTAACTTTATCTTCTCCTTCACCACCTTCCATCTCATCATCATCATCAGTCGGGAATCGAACCCTTGACCTCTGTGTGTGAACAGGGATCGCTACCATACCATGGCGCCACAAGGATAAGAAAAAACATTCCTAGGCTTTGTTTCATTTCACACAAAGCCTGTTCATTCATCGTATTTTTAAGCAACGTGAACCGCTATTGGGGATTACCCGTGCAAACTATGTGGTCGTAGTAGCATTTTATCGACTCCAGCTAGGAAACACAGGGATATATATATATATATATATATATATATATATATATATATATATATATATATATATATATATATATATATATATATATATATATATATATATATATATATATATATATATATATTTCATGAAAATTCACAATGAAAACGTGGATAAGATAAATCTTGATAAAATCACACGGGAAAAGGGAAACAACGGAGCACCTTAGCTTTCGTCTTTATTCAAGACATCTTCAGTTGCCTCTGAAGATGTCTTGAATAAAGACGAAAGCTAAGGTGCTCCGTTGTTTCCCTTTTCCCATGTGATTTTATCAAGATATATATATATATATATATTGTTACGCCTTCTCTTAATTTACTTAAATATCCAGGTTCTAGGCGTAACCAAACAAAAATGTGAAGTAAATTAAAAGGGAATAAAAATAAATAAAGTAAACCTTTAAGAATTTAATTAATTAAATATTAACACATTAAAGAGCCTCGTAGGCTGTCACAACAAATTGATTCACCATCGAAACTTTTAAGACACAAATGATACTAAACATCGAAACATCAAAAGAATAAAAATAAAGCATTGGATTACGTTAACACTGCATAAACATATAAAAACTAACACTGAAATTAACTAACGTGAAACAACACTGAATTACTTAAATGTAACTAAGCAAATACTGATGGACATAAATAGAGACATAAATAGGTACTCACATAGATATACCACATTGGTGGCGACAGGAACAACACAAATAAATTAAGTATAAGTAACAGGTGACGAGTGTCACTCAAAGGATGTGAACTGTATGACAAGAGGACTGAACTGCCTCTGTCTACAGGTGGAGTACTATATATATGGTCGGTTCGCGCCAAGCGACCAGCCGGTGAACATGGGTCGTTTAACGATGCAGATGGTCGTTAGAGCAACACAGAATGCTTGTTACAATACTAAATGAAGAAATAAGATGGGCTTGAACAAATAATAACAGTTAAAACCTTAACAGCACAGGGTAAGGCGACTAGATAATATAATAGTAAATATAACACATCATTACAGGAATAATATGGAACATGGAAGCATGTTATATAACAAAAAAAATAGAAAAATACGACACGTCAATATAATATATATATATATATATATATATATATATATATATATATATATATATATATATATATATATATATATATATATATATATATATATATATATATATATATATATATATATATATATATATATATATATATATATATATATTGAGGTTGGAAATAATTCAAGGTATTATGCTGTGTTTATTAATAAGAGACTTATATAACATTTCTTTGATGAGTTCTTCTACATAAGACACCTCAACATGATCAATTTCATGCAACAGTGTACAGTAAATGGTCTTATTATGGTGCAGTAAGCCAAGTGTGGCGTAGATCCACGTTTAGAAAATACTATAGGTAAGAAGCTCCACACACAGCACCAGTAGGCTGAGAACGCTTCCGCCAGCCATCACCACGAACATTCCCTGAGATATGAAAGATACTCTAGCAACACTATCTTAATATAAGACTAATATGTTCTGGTTATTTGTATGTCATATATGTAATAATGAAAATACAAGAGATTGTATCTGAATCAATATAAAATATTATTCATGTTTTGTTGAAATTTGATAATGTTGATGAATGTGAATATTCATTTCTTAAGTCATAATGTTTAAATACCCATAAGTTTGATAGGGAGAGAGATGTACGGACGGTGATCCTCTTTGGTGGGTTAAGACATTTTGTAGAATTAGGAAAACTCATCCAGAACCACCGCATAAAGATCCCGGATTCTGTCAGTGCCAAGACCCTATGAGACACAGGCATGAAATAAGAAGTTTAGAAAATACCTTTGGTCTACATATCTGATATGTGAATATTAGGCTTCGTATTAAAAGTTAGCAATAAAAAAAGGACCAGTTACGTGGGAAGCATAGTTGCATTATGAAGAGGGGAACCAGGGAGAATACAAACATCTCGACTAAGCTGGGTTTCTACAGTATATTACTAACATTTCGGAAAATAATTTTCCATCATCAGAGCCTAGAAAACAAAAAGTTTTAAAAATTACAGGTAATATTCAATAAAAACGGAGCATTATTCTAAAATTTACCCTCCCAAATATTGTTCCGTTTTTATTGTATATTACCTGTATTTTTTTTTACTTTTTGTTTTCTCGGCTCTGATGATGGAAAATGATTTTCTGAAATGTTAGTAATATACATATACTGTATATATATATATATATATATATATATCTTGATAAAATCACACGGGAAAATGGAAACAACGGAGTACCTTAGCTTTCGTCTTTATTCAAGACATCTTCAGAGGCAACTGGATTACATGTAATTATGTAGGTCAGACAGGAAAAACACTGCAGCTCAGAATCAAACAACATAAGTATAATATCAGAACTGCATCTGAAAGCAGTGCCTTGTTCGTTCATGTTAGGAATAATAATCACCCCATTGCTTGGGAAAAAAGCTTAGAAGTATTCAAATCATCTTGTGTCACAGAAAGACTTCTGGTTGAAGCTAGTTTGATTAAGGAATTAAAATCAATAAACCTAAGTGATGGTCAGTTCAAAACTGATAATATGTTACATAAATTTATTTGTCAGTGGCCCAAGGTTAAAAATGCTTTGAAAACCTTTGATCTAGATGTATGATAGTTATTTTGTGGGTCCCTTTTTTCTGACCTGACTTGGCTAGTCACGTCACCACCCTTCTCTTAAGCTCCTCTACGTGTGTGTTGGTGTGGGGATTAGTGGATGTCATCATTTTGACCTGACCTCATGTTTTTAGGTCACCCTGTATATTTAAGCCTCTCTCTGTCCATGTAATCCAGTTGCCTCTGAAGATGTCTTGAATAAAGACGAAAGCTAAGGTACTCCGTTGTTTCCATTTTCCTGTAGGTCAGACAGGAAAAACACTGCAGCTCAGAATCAAACAACATAGTATAATATCAGAACTGCATCTGAAAGCAGTGCCTTGTTCGTTCATGTTAGGAATAATAATCACCCCATTGCTTGGGAAAAAAGCTTAGAAGTATTCAAATCATCTTGTGTCACAGAAAGACTTCTGGTTGAAGCTAGTTTGATTAAGGAATTAAAATCAATAAACCTTAGTGATGGTCAGTTCAAAACTGATAATATGTTACATAAATTTATTTGTCAGTGGCCCAAGGTTAAAAATGCTTTGAAAACCTTTGATCTAGATGTATGATAGTTATTTTGTGGGTCCCTTTTTCTGACCTGACTTGGCTAGTCACGTCACCACCCTTCTCTTAAGCTCCTCTACGTGTGTGTTGGTGTGGGGATTAGTGGATGTCATCATTTTGACCTGACCTCATGTTTTTAGGTCACCCTGTATATTTAAGCCTCTCTCTGTCCATGTAATCCAGTTGCCTCTGAAGATGTCTTGAATAAAGACGAAAGCTAAGGTACTCCGTTGTTTCCATTTTCCCGTGTGATTTTATCAAGATTTATCTTGTATATATATATATATATATATATATATATATATATATATATATATATATATATATATATATATATATATATATATATATATATATATATATATATATATATATATATATATGTCAAGTATTGAGACAATACCATCATGTAAGAGCAACTTCCTAGCACTATCTAGTTGCTGGTTACGTCCTCAACTTCTCTGCTCGACACATGTTATAGTACTTGGCGCGAATTATATCAGCCAATCCTCATTTAGAAATGAAAGTGATGCCACCATAAGCCACGCCCAATACTAGTTGATTTAAGTGCACGTACAGCTGAGGAGCATCATCCTTTATGGGCACACCGAGACAATACCTCGCGTGGGAGAAGGTGAACACCTCCATTTTCAACCCCTTTTCCCGTGTGATTTGATCAAGATATATATATATATATATATATATATATATATATATATATATATATATATATATATATATATATATATATATATATATATATATATATATATATATATATATATATATATATATATAAATATATATATATATATATATATATATATATATATGCAAGTAAATCACTGTAGGTGATCTAGAGTATAATCTTTCAATTACAGTCTGTACTCACCCCTGAAGATGTGAATTACACGAAAGCGCTTGGGAACTGTGTTTTCTTCTTGTCTATATATATATATATATATATATATATATATATATATATATATATATATATATATATATATATATATATATATATATATATATATATATATATCTTGATAAAATCACACGGGAAAATGGAAACAACGGAGCACCTTAGCTTTCGTCTTTATTCAAGACATCTTCATATTGTATATAATCAGTCCATAAAACACGCAGACTTCCATATACGCTTTTCATACATTCTTACACACACATTCCTGATAAATAGTATGTTTTGAAATTATGTAAAATATTTTGTCACCTTTTATGCATAGCTGGAACGATGGGGTTGTCCTTCTGGCTTATAATTCCTGCAGGAAACGGTAGGTAGCCTTCTCTAGATGTGTAGAAATCGCAGCGACCTTTCACACAAACACACACATGAGGTAAATTTAATCTGCCTGTATACTACTATGAATATTTAAGCAAAGACTCTCTCTCTCTCTCTCTCTCTCTCTCTCTCTCTCTCTCTCTCTCTATATATATATATATATATATATATATATATATATATATATATATATATATATATATATATATATATATATATATATATGAAAAATGGAGGCTCATGGCATTGCAGGACATATTCTAAAATGGATTAGTGGGTGGTTACAGGACAGAAAACAGCGAGTGAGCATTAACGGCGCTGAATCCGATTGGAGTAACATCACTAGTGGAGTAACCCAAAGCTCAATACTTAAACCATTATTATTTATTATATACATAAACTAAATAGATATCGGCGTAGACAGCAACTTAAGTAAATTATTTATCCATTTAGGGTCATTGCTGTTTGATCTGAGTTTTCTGTATGGAATGTTTTGCCTTTGTGCATTGAGTAACTCATTACTTATTTAAATTGTTGTGGAAATCGTCAACCTCAGATCTGTGATCAGGTCATCCTCAACCGTCATATTTTGTGAGGTTATCGTTGTCATGTATCCAGGTAAAGTGAGGTCGCCTTCTGAGATCATGTAATCCATCCCCAAACGTGATACCCCTTCGCTCAGCTGCCTGTTCAACCTGTCAAAGTTTGCCCTTCTGAAATCTGGGACTTTAATGGATTTTTCCTAGCGACTGCTATTAAATTTAATTGAAATCTTATTTCTTTGTGATCGCTGTTGGCAAGTTCGTTCCCTACCTCGACTTTACTAATGAGGTTTTCTCTGTTTGACAGAACTAAATCGAGTATATTGTTACTCCGGGTGGGTTCAGTTATATGTTGACTTAGGAAACTCCTGTAATGTTTCAAGAAAATACTCTCATTCTGAGTTACCTGTAAGGTCGATCCAATCTATCTGGTGAAAGTTTAAGTCGCCTACTATACAGTCATTGCTATGCCTGGAAGTCCTGTGCAATTCATCTCAAATAAGTCGCTCATTAACTCTATCAAGAATAGGAGATCTATATATTACTCCTGCGATTATTTTTCCCTACCATCTATTAATTCTGTCCAAATTGTTTCTGTATTCAGCTCAGTTTTTATTTCCTTATTTATTTCACACTTCAGATTATCCCTGACATAGATTGCTTCTCCACCTCCTTTCCTAATCTGCCTATCGGTATGGAATAATTTGTAACCTGCAAATTGGTATTCGGCAGGACACTCTCGTGAGTCTAAGTTTATCTATGTTGCAGTGAATGCTATTATCTCTATTTTTTCAGTACATACCAACGCCCTGATTTCATTCATTTTGTTTCTCACACTTCTACTGCTTGCGTAGTAGACATTTAAGTTAGTCGTGTTCTGAGTTCTCTCTTTGTCGCGTTTAGGTTTTAACTCCCAGCCTAATTTAGTTTGTCATCACTCCTAGCACTATTTCCCTGTAATCTTTCACTTTGTTTACCCACTCCCACTGCAGTCTCCTCCATATGTTCTCCTAGCATTTTAAAGACTTCGACATCTTTTTAACTGCCCTCTTGAGAGAACCAGCCAGGGTTGCTACCTTATCACTAGACAGATGCACCCCATCTCTAGCATAACGTTCCCTTCTGCCGTAGAAGTTGTCCCAGTTGTCAATGAATGGGACTGATATTGACTTGCAATATCTGTCAAGACGGCAGTTGACATCAACTGCCCTTGACAACCATTCATTGCCAACTCTCCTTCTAGGCAGGACACCACACATGATAGGGATCCCCCCCCTTCGACCTAATACGTTCTATAGCTGTCTTGAACTTATCAAGGAACTCCTCACTCCTACACCGGCCAATATCATTGCCTCCTGCACTGAGACAGGTTTGTTCCCATTACCAGACAAGATATTGTCCATCCTGTCAACTATATCCCCCCACCCCAGCTCCAGGTAAACACACCCTATTTTTTTATATTTTACCACAGCATGCTCTATGCAGGTACCGTACTTGGGTATCACCAACAATTAAGATTTTTGTACCTTCCTTGTCTGCCCTGTCCATGACTATGCTAACGTCCATTTCGTCTATCAAAGGACTAAAAGATTGTTTGTACTTAGCTGTTGTCGTTTCGGTGTCTTTTCTCACCACCAGTTTGGTCGTTCCTCACCTCACAACCTTCCATTCGCCTGTGTCTTCGTCAGATACAGTTTTCAGCTTTGACCTTCACTAACTCGGCCCTCAGAAGGGCACTACACTGGTCATAACTGTCACTAGGGGACAATTAATCACCGGGAGCTAAGTCGGCCGTGACCTTTCCTCTAGCAAGGTCAGAACACAATACGATAATGTACCGTAACACTGGAGGCCGGAGGTGATATTTACAAATTGAAGGTGTTAACTGCGACAATTCAAGATTCGTGGAATGTTTTTATAATATCTCGGCCTATCACTCAGGTACTTGCAATAAGAAAATAAGTAAATATGAGAGCAGAAAATTTGTGATTGTTATGATAAAGTGTACAATTTTCCATATGCTGTATTATAGTATAGCCATTTTCTAAGGAAAAACAAGGCAAGACAGAAATGACATAACCTGACTGGGAAAAGTCCTGTGCCATCAAGTTCCTGATATTTATGTGAATGTCTACGAGGACATGTGTGCCGCGCCGCACGAGCGTGTCCACCACACTCTTGTACTTCTCATGGGTAGTGTACATCACTCGTCCGTCAGCCCCCAAGTCTGCCACCTCTTGAATAATGCCTGATTTCGCTGTCTAGAAGAACAAAAATTGCAGTACCTTCCGTTAAATAATAGCTATATACAGCTGATGCAATTGAACAATGACAAAATTATGAGTCAAGGTCAAATTTTTGGAAACATATTTCATTATATTTTTACTGACAGTCCCTTTGAGAGACGAACTTTGCTGCGTTTTAATCAGTACTGTTTACTTTCCTATAAAGGATGATGAACTTTAACTTTATCTACTCGAATATATCATAAATAAATTTATATGGTGGGCACTTTCTTATCCTGTGGGATTCACATCCTCTTTTCTCTGACGCTTTGAGAACAGTTCGACGGGGTTACTGTGAAAAAAACAACAACTTTAGAATGACTTACACGGAGGTATTCAGCGTTGATCGATCTGCTCTGCCAGATGGTAATTGTTGAAGGATCATCAATAACTTCCCGGAGAGACTGGAAGGGTTGAGGGATGTGTCTCACGGCCAGGAGGGACATGAGGTTGCCGGCGTAGCTCCGTGTTAACACCAACGTCATCAACATCCACACTCCCAACATCACCCGCTGCCACCACCACCATTCCATCGAAATTATCGCGGCTGGGTGAATGATACCATATTAAGCAATTAAACGAATATGAAAGTGAGCAGTGTTCTATTAGAAACGTTATATTTCATCTAACTTTTTGTTTTCCAGTTCATCATTCGACCACTTATCACCTTACTGTAGTCGTTGTGGCGGTTGGTTCATTCTTTCTTACAACATACCTTCACTGACTTCCTTGTGTAAATTACCCCGCACTTCAACACACTACTAGCTAATTATTTGTCTGAAACTTATTTTGCATACACTCTTTTAGTATATATTCTATGCAAATGTTATTATATTTATTTATACACTAGAATATTTCTGTAAACAGAATAAAATAAATAAATCTAGATTAATTGAGACACGTGTGTAACTTTATTTATAAATTCATTTGTATTTTTTACCTTGAGAAGATATCCTCCATTTGTAATTTTTCATCTTACTAATATTAATAAGATCCTTACAAACGATAACTCACTTTGTTGTAATAATACGCGAATAAATCCGTGAGTGTCTGTCAGCCTGATGAAGAAGGTGGAAGTCTTGGGTGAGAGACATGAAGAACACATCAAAATCACTGTAAGCAGCATCAATAGCGCCGTCAAAATGGCCGCCCATACCAGTGGTGCTAGAGGCAGCAGGAAGCCCCACGGGTCCACTTCTGGGTCCCCAAGACCAGCTAAAATCTTGGTGTTGTCGTAAGACAGAGGCCAGGTGAAATCCACAGCTTCAGCCCGAATTGGTGTAAGACCGAAGGGACCTATGGCGATATCTGCCTCCTGCATGGAAACACGAATTTCCGGATAATACAGTATATATTAAATTGTTTACCATTTCAGACAGTTTCATAGTGAATAAAACTATAAGAGAGACACATGGCTTTGTTAATTGGGTGGGCCTGATTTTTTCATCTATTTAGCTATAGTTACAGTATTCACTATCTTGAATAGCGACGTGCTAAGACATCCCTCACACGAAGCCTTGTAAAAGCATTTATTAAAACAGAAAACAGTCTCTTTATTTTTGTTAGAAGTATCAGCCTTCTTAAAATTATTATAATAATGTTTTCTCAAAAACTGTAAGCACAACATTTCACTCTATCATGCGGGTCAGTGTTACACGTCCTCCTTGACATCGGTGGACCACCATTTAGGACGATGGCTTAGTTCACCCGTCTCCTCCTGTTCACCGTACAGTACCTACCATACTTGATCAGGACCAAGGAGTCTTCCTGCTGTGTGCTTCACTAAACTCACCTCTCTACTCACTAATCCCACCATACCGGTCCAAGAGCCATCCTCTGCTTTTGTACCGAAACTCCCATCAGGAGGCATTACGTATTTGTACCTGATGAATCATAAATGTAGAAAGGATAAAGGTATCATTAACGACAATTACTGATTTTTTTCTAGAGTTAGTGAAAGAAACGGGAAAAGAATAAACCGATGAATTCTCCCAAAAGTCATTACTATTTTGTGGATTTTGACAGTGATACGAAAATTATTTTAAAAATATTTTTTTACAACTAAACTTACGTAAAATTTAAGGCCCGGGAAAGATACTCCACCACATTGGCGATGGCTCCTGTGTAGACGACCCTCTCATCCCCAGCTGACTCAGCGTCATTCATTTTCACAATTTTGAAGTGGGACATTACTATCGCCGCTACCTTTAGTTTTGGGGCGTTAAGGAATCTGAGTAGGAGATTAGCAAGATGACATTAACCGATTCGAGAGAAATATAATTTATGATATTTGTACTACAGTGAAATTATCTTTATATATATATATATATATATATATATATATATATATATATATATATATATATATATATATATATATATATATATATATATATATATATATATATTGATAAAATCACACAAGGAAAAAGGAAACAATGGATTACCGTAACTTTCGTCTATATTCAAGACCTTTTCAGTACAAGACTCATAATATGTTACACAAATTTATTTGTCAGTGGCCCAAGGTTAAAAATGCTTTGAAAACCTTGGAGTTAGATGTAGGATAGATGATTAGTCGGTCCCTTATTTTTGACCTGACTTAACTTGACTAGTCACGTCGCCCTTTCTCTTAAGCTCCTCTGCGTGTGTGGTGGTGCTGGTGTGCGGATTAGTGGATGTCATGATTTTGACCTGATCTCATGTTTAGTAAGGTCACCCTGTGTGCTTAAGCCTCTCTCGGTCCATGTAATTCAGTTGCCTTTGAAGATGTCTTGAATAAAGACGAAAGCTAAGGTGCTTCATTGTTCCCCTTTTCCCTGTGTGATTTTATCAAGATTTATCTTATCCACGTTTTCATTGTGGATCTACATGATATATATATATATATATATATATATATATATATATATATATATATATATATATATATATATATATATATGCTGATAACCACAAGGAAAGAAGAAAACACGAAGTTCCCAAGCGCTTTCGTGTATCACAGGAGTAATATATAGACCTCCCAATCTTGATAGAGTCAATGAGCGACTTATCTGGGATGAAATGCGCAGGGCTTCCATACACAACAAAGTCTGTATAGTAGGCGACTTTAACCTTGGCCAAATAGATTGGACTGACCTTACAGGTAACTCAGAATCAGAGAATTTTCTCGAGACGATCCAGGACTGTTTTCTAAGTCAACATATAACCGAACCCACACGGGGTAATAATATACTCGATTTAGTTCTGTCAAACAGAGAAAATCTCATTAGCAGTGTCGAGGTAGGGAACGAACTTGCAAACAGCGACCACAAAGAAATTAGATTCCAGTTAGATTTTCAGGGCAGACGTAAGGAAAATTCCACTAAAGTACCAGATTTCAGAAGGGCGAACTTTGACAGTTTAAAGAGGCAGCTGACAGAGGGGGTGTCGCGCTTGGCCGTGAACCTGACAGATGACACCGACCTGATAACGAGATCTGAGATTGCCGAGTTCCACATCAATTTAAATAGTGAGTTACTTAATGCACAAAGGCAGAATATACCATACAAAAAACTCAGATCAGACAACAATGACCCTAAATGGATAAATAATTATTTAAAGAACATCATCGGCCAAAGGAAGGCTATAGGTAGAAGGATAAATCGTGGCGAAATTCACCTCCGGGACTATTATAGGGTATTGGCGAGTAGGGTTAAAACAGAGATAAGGAAAGCAAAGAGGAATAATGAGGTAAGGATAGCAAGGGAGGCGAAGACAAACCCCAAAGGATTCTACCAAATGTATCAAACTAAAACACGAGAAAAGATTGGACCAATACGGTCAGACGCCGGCTAGCTCACTGATAACGACAGAGAAATGAGCAATAATTTGAATAAATATTTTTCAACAGTTTTCACCACCGAAAATTTAAACATGATACCCGAGGCACCGACTCTATTCAGAGATAGTGAAGAAAACAAATTAAGCGAGATAGTAGTGACGATGTTAGTAAGCAAATAGACAAACTAAAGCCTAATAAGTCACCTGGTCCCGATGAGATATTTGCCAGAGTATTAAAGGAATGTAAGGAAGAGCTTAGTATGCCCTTAGCAAAGTTGTTTAACACGTCCTTAAAAACAGGTGTAGTACCAGAATCCTGGAGGATAGCGAAAGTAATACCGATTTTCAAGAAGGGGGATAGATCACTATCCTCTAACTACCGCCCAATCAGTCTAACATCAATAGTAGGCAAATTACTGGAAGCAATCATTTCAAACTCTATTCGAAATCACCTGGAGAAGCACCGATTGATCAATGATTCCCAGCATGGCTTCACAAGCGGACGTTCTTGTCTAACTAATCTATTAACATTCTTTTCATCAGTTTTCGAATCGGTGGACGAGGGGCACAATTATGATGTGGTATATCTCGACTTTAGCAAAGCCTTCGACAGAGTCCCCCACGAAAGACTAATTAGAAAGGTAGAAGCTCATGGCATCAAAGGTAACATCCTTAAATGGATTAGGGCGTGGTTACAGGACAGGAAACAGCGAGTGAGCATTAACGGCACTAAGTCCCATTGGAGCAACGTCACAAGTGGAGTTCCCCAAGGCTCAGTACTTGGACCATCATTATTTATTATATACATAAACGACATAGATATCGGCATAGACAGCAACATAAGTAAATTTGCTGATGACACTAAAATAGGACGTGTTATTAAATCTGATGAGGACTCAGCAAAACTACAGGAAGATCTAAACAAATTTTTCGAATGGTCTGAAAAATGGCAGATGAAATTCAACGTGGACAAATGTAAAGTACTCAGTATAGGAGATGGAAACAGGGAAACTAGATACCAGATGAACAACGATGCCATAGAGAAATCCGACTGCGAGAGAGATTTAGGAGTAATGATAAGTAGGAACCTTAAGCCAAGTAAACAATGTGTTTTTGCTCGTAACAAGGCTAATAAAGTACTTGGGTTCATACAAAGGAGTGTTAGTTACAAGACTAGCGAGGTCATCCTAAAACTGTATCTTGCTCTTGTGAGACCACACCTGGATTACGCAGTTCAGTTCTGGTCACCGTATTACAGAATGGATATAGAATCCTTGGAAAGAATTCAGAGGAGAATGACAAGACTAATCCCGGGCATTAGGAACCTTGAGTATTGAGACAGGTTAAAGCATCTTAATTTGCACTCCCTCGAGAGACGTAGAGCGAGGGGCGACCTGATAGAGGTGTACAAGTGGAAGGCAGGGCTAAACAAAGGGGACATTACAAAGGTACTCAAACTATCCAACCAGGAGCGAACTCGTAACAATGGTTTTAAATTAGACAAATTTAGATTTAGGCGGGAAATAGGTAAACACTGGTTTGGAAACAGAGTGGTGGATGAATGGAACAAGTTACCAAATATCATCATTAACTCGAATACGCTGAATAGCTTCAAACATAGGTTGGATGCTTATATGAGCAATAGGGGTTGGGTGTAAACGGGACTGCCCACTGCCCAGTATGGGCCAATAGGCCCGCTGCAGTTTCCTCCATTCTTATGTTAATTCACATCTTCAGGGGTGAGTACAGACTGTACTCACCCTTGAAGATGTGAATTACACGAAAGCGCTTGGGAACTTAGTGTTTTCTTCTTTCCTTGTGGTTATCAGCATATACCTAGATCACGCGCACCTACAGTGATTTACTTGCATATATATATAAATATATATATATATATATATATATATATATATATATATATATATATATATATATATATATATATATGCGTATATATATGTGTGTATATATATGTGCGTATATATATGTGCGTATATACATGAAATATATATATATATATATATATATATATATATATATATATATATATATATGTATATATATATATATATATATATATATATATATATATATATATATATATATATATATATATATATATATATATATATATATATATATATATATATATATATATATATATATATATATATTTACTGTGTGTGTATGTTTTAACTATTCATGCAATTCTTCCTTTTATATTTTGTCATGGGAGGCAAAATAAAATCGAATTACAGTTTATTGGTATTGTAAGAAAGAAAACACATTGAACAACACAAAGTTTCATGAATCATACAGTAATATTCGTTAGGCTCAATTAATTAATCCATTGATGATGATGGTTAAAAAAAATTGTATGGTGGTTTAACCCTCTTAGGACGATGGTTATACCCTGTGAGTCCGGTGGGTTTAGCTTGTGTTTATAAAGGGTTTAATTCATCGTTCCCCTTAGTGTTGATAAAGTTAAATCATCGTCTTCTAAATGTTTAATCGTTCTCCTTAATGGGTTAAGTAGTCTTGTTTAAAATCTTACTTTGAAAACTTGTCAGGGAAGAGAGGCAAATGTGTTCTTGAAACAAGTCCTTGGTTGTGCGTCCACGTCGCAATTCGCAAAAACTGGCCTCCTAGTTGTCTGTATGGCAGTTGCACGTACACCTCGACCCTGCAGCAAAATGAAGGGTTATGCAGATGAATCAAGTAAGTCTGTATATTCTGCCTCATCACATTATTCATTAACAAACACACACACACACACACACAAACACCTTAGTGACCTCACTGATTGAGGACTTGTCTCCTGGCGCTCAGCAGCAGCTTAGGTCATCAAGGAGACCTGTAGTTACTTAAGGTAGTTCAGTACTTTTACGGGTAGACAGTGCGTATTTTCAAGGTGTCAGTGACTGTAAGTGCCAGACTTGTGAATATGTGTGTTCCAGTGGCTAGATATCGTCGCACCGACCTGTTTCGGCTGAAGTCTGGTGCTGGCTATCCTCCACCCCACAGCATCACTCTACTAAAGGCGCTGAGTATCTTCCACAACCGCGGCTGCAGACGGGGTCACCGCATTCCCAGACGAATCCCTATCATCACACCGAGCAAGCATAGGAAAATCAAGCCAGTACTTGAAAGACAGTGTACTCGCTATGAAGTGCCGCAACTATGGTACAACCTACCATCCCTACTGCTGTCCAATGTCACATCTTTATGCAACAAGGTGGAGGTCAGTGTCACAGTGAAGTCAGTTGGTGCAGGTATTGTGGCGATTACCGAGGCGTAGAAAGGACAGGAGAGGTGGGGGTGTAGTTCTGTACTGTCGCAGTGACCTCAAACCATCACCCCTAGGTGTTAATGTACCTGAAGATGTAGAAGCCTTGTGGGTTCAGGTCACTCCCACCTCCCACCCCCACCAGCTTGCCTCCCTCATTGTCTGTGTATGCTATCATCCCCCCGCGCACCAACCGCCAATGTACTGATTACTCATATTATAGACACTGCTGACTCCCTGAGATCCAGATTTCCATGTGCTAAACTTGTGATATGCGGTGACTTCAATGAGTTAAACATCAGTGACATCACCCAACACCTCCACCTTACACAAATAGTAGACTTTCCCACACATGGCAATGCCACCCTTGACTTCATTATGACTGATCTCGGTAACCACTACCTTCCCCCCCAGCCGCTGCCTCCCATGGGACGCAGCCCCCACCTGTCCCTACTGTGGTCACCTACCCCCACCTTCTCACCACCGCCAGTTGCCACCAGGACTTACCAACCCACCCCCGACTCTGCTATGCGGCGTTTTGGACAATGGATAACCCGGTATCCCTGGACTGAAGTGATCCCGGTAGACGATGTGCAGAACAAGTGGGATAATTACCTGGACACTATCACTAAAGCCTACCACCACTTCTTTCCAGCCAAAACACTGAGGATTCACCCCGATGATGTCCCGTGGATTACGCCCCGCATAAAAAGACTTATCGAGCAGTGCAACAAGGCATACTACGCCAACAACCGCCTGTATAAAAGTCTACATAACCAGGTCATCAGGGAAATCAAGTCTGCCAAGAAGACTTATTATCCCAGGAAAGTGCACGGCCTCAAGGAAGTCGGCATCGGTCAGTGGTACTCCAAGGTTAAAGATCTCTGTAGTCTCAACCGTCAGTCTCCCACACTGCCTTTCATCTCACATTTACCTAGTGAGGAGGCAGCTGAGATAATAAATAACCATTTTGCTGATACCATATGTCATACCTTCCCCCTCCCCCCTTCCCAGTGTTCAACCATATGAAATCGCCAACAAACTCCTGAAATTTAAATCCAAACGCTCCACGACCCCCAATTGACCTCCCAATCAAAATATACAAGGAGTTTGCAGTCGAACTTGCCACCCCCCTCTGTTATATTATTGATGCATCCCTCAGACAAAGCAAATGCCCTAATGAATGGAAAACCGCATTTGCACCCCCATCCCCAAGGTCGCCAACCCACAGTCCCCTAACGACCTCAGGCCGGTTGCCATTACCCCCATACCCAGTCTACTTTGTGAGGACTTTGTTTTTGAGTGGGCATTTGCCAGTATCTATCAGTCAATTGATCCACAGCAATTTGGCAATATGAGGACCTCCTCTCCATCACACTGCTTGGTGAGCTTTCTGGATTTTCTGCACAAAAACTTGCAGAAACATAAGACATCACTGGCCGTTGCCCTTGTGGACTTCGGGAAGGCCTTTGACCTTATTGATCACAGCACTGTTATCAACAAGGCTATTGCACTAGGGCTGCCCACCAACCTGGTCTCATGGCTCACTGATTTCTTGAGTGGACATCGCCAGGCAGTGAGGTATCAGGGCTTGGTCTCCACATTCCAACACCTCACCTGCGGTGTTCCCCAGGGGACCAAGATGGGACCACTGTGCTTCCTCATCCTGATCAACGACGCTCTATCGGACACTCCTCACAGGTAGAAGTACGTGAATGACTGCACTGTGGAGGTTTCAGTGGAAAACACCGCACCAGACTATTCATCGCTACAAGGCACCCTGGACAGGCTACTAGCATGGACTACGGAGAACAAGGTCACCATCAACCACACCAAAACCGTAGTCATGCGCATCAATACCGCCACCACTCCAGTGCAAGCCCCAGCAGTCACAGTGGGTGCCCATCCTCTCCAGCTGGTGCAGTCTGCCAAACTCCTGGGTATAACTATAGACAACAAACTTGACTGGAAGGCACATGTAAATAAGGCAGCCTCGTACCGTCTCTACATGCTACGACGACTTAGGTTACTTGGGACATCCACGCCAGAGCTGAGGACCATCTACAACGCCTTTATTCTCCCCAAGCTAACGTATGCGTCACCAGCCTGGTCATCTTCTCTCAACTCCACCCAACAACGTCAGCTAGAGAAGGTACAGAAAAGGGCCTGCAGAATCATGCTCAGCGCAGAATACTCCGGCTACAGCAATGCTCTCTCCACCCTGGAAATGCCATCCCTCAGTGACCTCCACCACCAAGCACTGGAAAGGTTTGGCAGTGGACTACTGCACCACCCTCGTCATCGCCACCTCCTGCCACCTGCAGCCCCCCACCCAACTCGCGCAGTCCGCCACTACAACATAAGAGCCCCCACTGATAGATATAAGAACAGCACCATCCCATCTATTGTTAAAATAATAAACAACTCCTGATTTATGTACTGTGCAGCCCTGTAAATGTATTCAATGCATATTATATCATTATGTCTAAATCAAATGTAAGTCTGTATATTTTCAGCCATCGGCTGCAACTCTATTAATAAACCGTTTATTATTATTATTATTATTATTATTACACACATACACTACATCTTTGACCACATTAGAGTCAATACCGACCAGGTGCTGCTGCGCCATTCCTTAAGTCCCTCTCCCCAACCCATCCTCACCACCGGGATATCAACATAATCAAAAGTGACAGTTTCGTTTTGGAAAGAACTAGGACCAGTGTTGAACAGTTATGAACAGTGCTTAAGCCAGTGAATTCAGCACTAGACAGTACCAGTGAGAGGCATGACCCCTGGGAACTGACTACCATCTTCTGACCAGGAAGCGCTAATCAGTTCACCATGGGAACAACAGTGGTTCGGCTTCACACATGACTAAGAGATAACACAACACCACCTTGCAGAGAGAGTGAGGTACTGTGACACCAATCCACACCACACGGTGTCCCCATGACCACGTGAGGTCCTTCATATCAACACCTACTGACGAGTTACTGCACCACGTGAACACCACACCACCCAGTGTCTCCTTGACCACATGAGGTCCTTCATATTAACACCTACGGACGAGTTACGGCACCACGAGGCCTATGTAACCTCACATAGTATGGCAAGAGACCAGCCCGGGCCATCAGCTGCAAACTATAATAATTTGTATATTCACCTCAAGTTCCTTCTCCTTTCAGTAATGAAAGCTTTTGTTAAACGACCCACCCACCCCATGTCTTTGTATGTAAAAAGTCATTTTTGTCTAATGTATACTTTCAGCCTTCGGGCTGCAAAACTTTTTCAATAAACAGGTAATTATTATTTTTATTATTAATATTATTATTATTATTATTGTTATTACACACACACAGACACACATACACACACACACACAAGAAATAAGAATGACCATGTGCTTCATATACAGATAACCATTTGAATATGTATGTCAATGCAACTCGCCTTCTCCTGAGTCATTGCAACACTTGCACAACTGGATGAGGAAAAGGGAGAGCCAAAATGTGTGGTTGCAGCCTGCGCTCCTGCCTCACCACATAAATAAACTTACGTGCAGTAATCATCCAGCTCATCATATTTCTAATCATCATTAAAACCCCTACACCCCAAAAGTCTTCTGGCGTCGGACGAGTGGCAAAGGGGACAGGTACAGATGACTGCCGGGAGTCTCTTGTCACAACTTTACATATGGGCAGCATATATAAAAGGGTCGTTTATGCACTGGGATCTAGGCAACAGTCCAATCCTGTCCTGCCTGTGCGACTGAGCAGCCCTTTCCTGGAGCCAATTTCCTCACCCAACATGGGGAGGGGGCTAGAAAAGGTTCCTTGAACATAGCCAGCCTAAAGAACCAAGCTGACTGGGCAACCGCACAAATGAGCATCCTAAAAGAAGAACCGCTCTTGTGGCAAAAGAGCTGGCTAGGATTGATATCGACATAGCAGCCATTAGTGACTCCTGGCTCCCAAACGAGGGATGACTCACAGAACTGGGGTTTGGCTATACCTTCTGGAAGATTAAGCCTGCTGCGGAGATAAACCACATTTGTGAAGTTGCCTTTGCCATCCGCCAATGCATCCTGTGTAGGCTAACTGAAATATCTGTTGGGATTAACGAGCACCTCATGACGCCCCAACACTGGATGGAGAAGATGACATCAAGGAACCCTTTTATGCTGACCTTGACAGAGTACTAAATTCTATCCGCAGAGAAGATAAAGCTGTGCTCCTTGGTGACTTCAATGCCAGAGTTGGCAGAGATGCTGACATTTGGCAGGGAACCATAGGAAGAAATGGACTAGGCAAGTGTAACCCCAACGGCCGACTCCTACATCTTTGTCAGAGAAAGAGATCACCGAGATGTTCTCATTACCTAAGTCATACGTGGCTCAGACCACTGTGACACTGATCATAGGCTCGTCAGTGCCAAACTCTCACTCTACGTTGCCCCAAAACGGCGAAGGCAACAAGCCTCCAGAAGAGGTTTTGACACTAATCGTCTGGAGGATCCAGCTGTAGCACGTACTTTCAGAGGAAGCTCAAACAAGGGCTGATACACAACCCGACAACAAACAACCTAAATTCCAGTGCCTAATGGGGTATTCTCGACACTATCATGACATAAACCTACAATGAGACCCAAGGCCAGATCGAGAGAATACATCAGGACTGGTTTGATAAAAATAACCCGGAAATGAACATACTCATTGATGATAAACGTGCTTCCTTAACTGACTGGCAGAACAACCCTCAGTCTCGGACCAAATCAGATGCCTTCCACAAGAAGAAAGTGGTGACCTTGCACGAACTTCGCAATCTAAAAACGAATGGTTGAAAAATAAGCATGTGAAATGGAAAGCTTGCAGATCAACACAAGATATGCTAATTTTTCAATTCCACTGAAATATTTTAAGGGTCAATCATTCATAGCTTAGCTCCCTCTGCTCCACCATTCACCCAGCTTAACGGTAATACCCGTTCTAATGTTATTTACTTTCAGTATCTCGGCTCCCACCTGTCCACCACAACGGACGTCGATGAAGAGATTTAACATCGGATCAGATGTGCTTCTCAAGCCTTAGGCAGACTCTGTACCAGTGTCTTCATCTATAGGGAGCTGAGTTTAACTCCAAAGTTGCACATATATTGAGCAGTGGTCCTCCCCACCCTGCTATATGGAAGCGAGACATGAGTCACATACAGGAGGCACCTCACGGCACTTGAAAACTTTCACCATTGTAGTCTATATTTCATCCTTTGATTTCGCTGGGAAAACAAAAGAACAAATGCCAGTATTCTCCATGACACCAACTGTAGGAGCATCGAGGCTACCTTTATCCATGAACAACTACGTTGACTGGCCATGTTACACACATGGACGACAGTAGACTGCCGAAGCAGCTACTTTACAGCCACCTAATGAATGGTAAACATATCACTGACAGGAAACTGAAAAGGTATAAGATTAGTCTTAAGACAAACCTGAAAAAGTGCCAAATCAACCCCCTCACCTGGGAGACGATCACTCCTCACTTTATCGCTTGGTGGAGCACCACACGAGAAGGTGTCAATACTTTCGAGTTACCCAGACTGCATACCGAGGCAGACAAGTGCCAACGTCGGAAAGACGCTGCCACCGCACCTTCCGCACTGGATGTAGCCCTCCACACATATCGGCCTCTCGAGTCACCTCAGAGCTCACCAACCAAGGTGACATCCTTAATAGCTCATATCATTGTATTATAGCTGGATGATCGTCATACTCGATTAAGAGTGACAGCAAAGTAGTAGTTGCAGTAGCATTTCATGGAACTGTATATAAAGTACATAGATAAGTGCGATATATATTTTTTGTTTTTTAAATCGAATTACGGTGACGATCATACAGTATTGCCAATCACATTACAAATTTAAATTAATTCCAATATTACTAGCCTTATTTAATTGACATAAATTATCTCACGTAAACTTGCCTAAATGTATTATTTATGAACTTATTTTCATTAAGTTTTAGCAATGAAAACAAAATGTTATTCCTATTTTAGAAAAAACGTCGTTTCCTTGTTGGGAAAATTATTGTCTCATATGATTAAGCTTCATATCTAAGTATATCTTGATCACACATTTTTGTAAAGTAAGTTACATTTTATAATACACAGTTATAGATGAGGCTCATACTGTGATCTGTGAATTTGAATAAAATTATTATTTTTTTTTTATTGGGTACCATCCTACATCCTGTGTAAGGTGAAGTGCACAAGAGTCAACGGTTTTTGTCATCAGGTTATTGGAAATTCCAATAACTTGTCCCTGAATACGAGTTCGCAACTTTCTATTTACAACAGGTACCTACTTTACTGCTAGGTGAACAGGGACCAAGGAGGGCTAGGAAGTGTGTCCAAACAACTTTCCACCGGCCAGGGAATCGAACTCGTGACATCTCGCTTGCGAGTCAAGAGCTGTACCGCTCTACCACCAGCGCCCCCTATTTGAATATAATGTTTCATTCGAGATTGTACAATAAGTTTTTATTCACCCGTTAGTGTCGGTAATAATGGCGGCGTTCACTCTTTCTTTTACTGTAACTATTCATTCACTAGCGATGCAGTTCTGCAAACAAAAATAGATAGGATTGAAAAATATTGTTTATCAAGTGGGGAGCGACTTTTGTAATATGATGAAAGTATATAAAGGATTGTGTGATAGACAAGTCCTGAGTGTGTCACTTAAGCTGAAAAATATATGCCAACTAACGATTACCTCAGGGAGACTGAGGTATCACCCACGATGAGCAACATGGTGTTCCTTCCGGACATCACTTTGTGTAGGAGCTGGAGCTCTTGGAGGGGCAGGCGGGTGACGACGAGGAGCCTCGTCGACCACACCAGCAGGCGGCCCTTGAGGGACCACTCGGCGAAGGCGGCGAGGAAGGCTGGGTCGTCGCTCACCACCACCACCGTCACGCACCAAGACACCTGACGCAGCTGTTGACGTTAACATGGTAGAAGTTATCTGAGAGTGAACTACCCGCCCCAGTGATAATGTCAGAGTGACCTACCCGCATCAGTAGTAAAGTGAGTGTTATCTGCCTGCGTCAATAGTAATGTGCGAGTGATCTACCTGCGTCAGTTATAATGTGAGAGTGACCTACCCGCTCCAGTAGTAAAGTGAGAGTGACCTACCCACCTCATTGGTAATGTGAGAGTGACCTACCCGCCTCAGTAGTAATGTGAGAGTGAGCTACCCGCCTCAGTAGTAATGTGAGAGTGACCTACCCGCTTCAGTAGTTAAGTAAAAGTGACCTACCCTTTTCAGTAGTCATGTGAGAGTGACCTACCTGCCTCATTAGTAATGTGAGAGTGACCTACCCGCCTCAGTAGTAATGTGAGTGACCTACCCGCCTCAGTAGTAATGTGAGAGTGACCTACCCGCCTCAGTAGTAATGTGAGAGTGACTACTCACCGTGAGAGTGACCTACCCGCCCAGAGTAGTAATGTGACCTACCCACCTCAGTAGAGTGACCTGGTAATGTGAGTGACCTACCCGCCTAGTAGTAATGTGAGAGTGACCTACCCACCTCAGTAGTAATGTGAGGGTGACCTACCTACCCGCCTCAGTAGTAATGTGAGAGTGACCTACCCACCTCAGTAGTAATGTGACCTGCCTCAGTAGAAATGTGAGAGTGAGTTACCTGCCTCAGTAGTAATGTGAGAGTGACCTACCCGTAGTAATGTGAGAGTGACCTACCCGCCTCAGCAGTAATGTGAATCAGTAGTAATGTGAGAGTGACCTACCCGCCTCAGTAGTAATGTGAGGGTGACCTACCCGCCTCAGTAGTAATGTGAGAGTGACCTACCCACCTCAGTAGTAATGTGAGGGTGACCTACCAACCTCAGTAGTAATGTGAGGGTGACCTACCTGCCTCAGTAGAAATGTGAGAGTGAGTTACCTGCCTCAGTTGTAATGTGAGAGTGACCTACCCGCCTCAGTAGTAATGTGAGGGTGACCTACCCGCCTCAGTAGTAATGTGAGGGTGACCTACCCGCGCCTCAGTAGTAATGTGAGAGTGACCTACCCGCCGAGCCTCGTCGACCACCCTGGAGAGCTGCGCCTGCGTCACGTTAGCGTCCTGGCCGTCCACTGCCACCTCGAACACCCCCATACCCCAGGGAGCCACCAGCTGACGCAAGTCTTCCTGAAGACATGAGCATTAGCACGCAATATATGGAAATATGTCAGGCATGGTCAATAAAGCTTTGCAATCCGGGAATATATGTTACGCTTTTCTGATTTTTTTTTGAGAAATCTGCTCTTTTGCAAAATTACCGGCATGCATAATGGTAATTTTGCAAAAATACCTTACAAACAGGATAACCGCAGGTAAACAAAAAAGAACAGGAAACGTTGATCTTACACCTGGACTTGTTTAATTCGATTATCTACACCCAATAGTGGGGAGAATAATGTCCAATGTACCCACTAGACTCCTGGTCTCAGTGTGTAACCTTTCATTCACTCAGTCTGCACTCAGTTTACTCCCAGTACTTCATGAACAGGAAGAGAGTGACCGTCAGTAGGTGAACCCTGCCCAGCTGAGGGAGGGGTTCTATTTTCCCGTTAGTAAGATTTTTCACTGACTGACTGAAGAGATGTGGTGTTGTATGAACCAAGGTGGGGAGATTTGATGAACCAGATCAACCACCGACTAAAGGGCAGATGCTGGTCCCACTTGGTTAGTCATCAGGGACACCCGTTCACCTTGTGCGTTGCCAGCTATACAACGAACTAAACACCGACCAATCACCGGCCGACCGAGTGGGTTCTCAGAACCCTGCAAAATACTCTGCTAGCTACTGTTAACTTCTTCTCTGCCCTATCTAAACACTGTCTGAGATCGAATTAAACTTACTTGCAACACTGATAAAACGTGTGCGGGAAGGGACGAGGCTACGTGGTCACTTTCCTTGGTGGAACGCGCAGTTAGAAGTCTGTCTCGTCAATGACCGGGCGCTCACTGAGACTGGTTGAGCGTCGGCATGCCTCAAGGCGGCCGCCTAGCCTTCACCCAATGACGTCATCTTTCGCGTATTACTAATAGTTTCTTAAGGACACACGTAACATATTTAGACTGGGAAACTATCCACAATAACTTAAAAATTTTTAATTGTCCCTTAACTTCATGAATCGTGTCTACATTAATTCGATAAAGTACCTTTAGTTTTATATAGGCCTAGTTCAAAATGCTTCCACTGCCGCTTGATAGTGTTGCTTGAGCCTAGTTGTACCCGCCATGAGGCGTGGGTGTTTCTGCCTGGCCTAATTATCTTTTCTTTTTCGGCAGATCGGTTATTTTTGTTCTAACGTCTCTAAATATCACACCGAAATTTCTGAATATTACATACGCTAGGGTGTGACAGTTGCCCCAACTTTGTCCTACAATGCTGTACAAAATTTTGGTGTTGCATATTGACATACAAAATATCCAAGTGCAATTTTTTGGAGATTCATTCATATTTGAGTGAGCACCAGCAATTTGAAAAATAGCGATTTTGCTTATACTGCATACGTACCTACATATGAGATTACACAACCATCATAAGGGATATTAACACAAATCATTTGCCTGTCTTAATTAAAAGCCGTTATCACTAACACAAAAAAGTTAATCATTCTTATTCTCTCATGGTACATTAAGGGGTTTTATCATATATTCACGAGGTATTATTTCTCTAGAGCAAGAAACCATGATTTTTGTTCGGAAACAGATGATCGTTTGCGCTGATTAGGAACGCGGAGTCTGTCATTTTCAACTACTTGAAGGACTTCTTGAAAACGCTCCTCATCTCTGGCAACATTAAGAAAGTCATGGCAAAGTTTCACACCACGCTCTGCAGCCTCATTGACGACCTGAAGCTTGTCCACAACCCGTTTCATGTTCAGGTAGTCGTCATGATCCGCCCATTCACTGGCTGGACTGTGGAGAAACTGATAGGGCATGCCTAAAATGGTGAAGAACCGACTTGAGTCAGGCCCAATTAGGTCCACCAGGGCAGTGCCACTTTCTGGGACAGGGGGAAGATATGGCTTTCCATAGCCCCCATGATTGAGCCCCACTCTCTTAGTAACTTCAGTGCCTTCATGGCAAAGAAGGGCCTTCCTCGTCTCCTCTTTTGTCCTTTATTGTACTTGGGACGAGAACAAAGCCAGTGGGGCCAACTCCTCAGTTAGGTACCAAGTGTTTCTACCGAATGCCACACGTGCTTTGTTAACTATTGTGGCGTCATATGGGACAAATTCAGCCAAGGTTTCGACCAAATTCAAGTCATTCAGTGGCGCACTTGCTGGAACGGGGCAAACAATCCACCATGGGACATAAACAGCGACTGTGAACACAGCAAACCGTTCTAACTAGCTGATTTGACTTTTAGTCACAACCTCGGCTTTGGGAAACTGCTCTTTGATCTGGCCTGACAAAAGAACAATCTTGAGGGTATAGAGCAGTTTATCCATCCACTTGTTTTGTGAAGTGGGCCGGGGTAGACCATCGTGAAGTTCACTGGCTCGGATCCTTTAGTTACAAGCAGCAGACAAAGCTCTACCAGCTCCTTGTAGTCGCCACGTGTAAACGGTTGGGCTAGAGATTCACGGAAGAAGTCAGCCATCTCCTGTTGACGCTCCTCAAACACTCCAGGCATTGCGGGGTAGTAGTATTTTTTTTTTTCATTGTACGCCAGTTGAGAGAAATGGGTCTTGAACCTAGAAATGCAATTATTGGGATTATTGTATTTCGTACTAATCTATATTGTTTTAGGGGTATTAAGATCGATCATTTGCTTGGTGTTAGTATATCTTATAAGTCTAATAAAAGAAATTCCACTAAATTTGTTCAGTAGATAATAATATTCCTTGTTATTTTGTAAAGCCGACGGTGCTAGGTCAGACATGCACCGATCTCCAAGAACATTTACAGGGGTGTTTCAGAGATAAATACACAACAATAAGACTTTGAACAAATTTGTAGGACCATTTTTTATTTTTGGAGGACAACGGTCACACCGTAATATACACTGTATATATATATATATATATATATATATATATATATATATATATATATATATATATATATATATATATATATATATATATATATATATATATATATATATATATATATGCTGATAATCACAAGGAAAGAAGAAAACATGAAGTTCCCAAGCGCTTTCGTGTAATTCACATCTTCAGGGGTGAGTTATCAGCATATACCTAGATCACGCGCAACTACAGTGATTTACTTGCATATATATATATATATATATATATATATATATATATATATATATATATATATATATATATATATATATATATATATATATATATATATATATATATATATATATATAAAACACCTGGCTCGTCTCATCCTTCATTTAATTCAGTTTGAGTATTGTTTAAAAGTGTGTATGTAATAAGGAATTCCTGTGTCGTAGCGTGAAAAGTGTCCTAGTGTGTCATCTTTACAGCTCAAGTCAATGTCTCTCGTCGTGGTATGCGCGAATTGTTACTAGCAAAACACTCCCAGAATATGCTCAGTGCTTAATATAATTTCTCAGTGTCCCCCGCGATCTGTAAAGTTCTCAGTAACCCAAGTGCATTTTGATTGTCGGTCAGTGTTAAATGTACCCATTGTGTTTTAGTGATAGAAGCTGTGTCTATACTAACTGTTAAAACCTAACATGTCTTACAACCTTTATTCTCCTCCCTGTCCTAATCCTCACCTCACCCTCCATACCCGTCCGTCCCCGCCCCGCCCGGCTCCGCCCCGCCCCGCCCGGCTCCGCCCCGCCCCGTCCCGGTTACGCCACGCTACGACACACCCCACCCCACCCCACCAGCCGCCCATCTTGCCAGCGTACTTTTCTCACCGCCCGCCCCTCCTCGCCCCTTGTGACCACCAATCCCCCGTATGTTTTGTCCCTTGAGTTATGCTGATGGTTAGTGTCATTGATGGTTAGTGTCATTTAATATTGCGATAATTGCAGAGCTTCACTCAGTGTGTTTTTATGCTAGTATGATTTGCAATGTACTCTTTGGCGCGTAGTGATACATAATATTCAGTGTAGTGAGCAGAGCTTCACTCCCCGACCCAGCCTAATGAGAATATTGTCATGACGGAAACCATAGTTGCCAAACATTGACGTAATGTATAAAGCAAATATTTTTTTCTTTAGGATACACTTCCAACTAATCCATCATTCCTTTCGGATTGCTTTTGTCAAATGTCACACACAGTACCGCCCCATGACTAGCCGGAATCCAACCACAGCACATACGAGCACAGGAGAAGCAGCGTGATGAATGCAGCACCACACCCACCACACACCACTTCACTTCTTTCAAGTCCTCCCTTGTCTAGGATTAAGAAGATTTTATATTTTTCTACTTTAGGAAGTTAAGGAGTGTAGAATGCAGCACCACACATCAAACCCTGACAAGCCGAACCAGGGGGGTGATTTCTGCGGTGGGGGCGTGTGACAGGACGATCAAGGATCCAGCCGATATTCGTGTACAGAGGGCGAAACCAGGGCCACATAGCCTGCCCCACACATCGTCTTGAGTGATGGTATCACCCCCCCCCCCCAGTGTGACCTGCTATCCCCGGCCGGAGTGGCAAAAAGTTATGTTGCAAAGAAGAAAGGCAGATGGAACTAGAAAAACCCATCTGGAATATGCCGGAAAATGAAGCTGTATAAAGAAATGCAGATGGGGCTAGAAAAACTCGTCTGGAATATGTTGGAAAATGATGCTCTACACGAAGAGGAAACGCAGATGGAGTAGAAAAATTCATCTGTCATATGATAGAAACCAGGAGGAAGTGAGAAGAAGTCAGAAGGTGTGGAGACACGACCTACAAGGTGAGGTATTGAAGAAAGAAAAACGTGTTACGTGAAGAGAGAACACATGAAACATGCTGTGCTGACATCAGAAGAGTGTGGACGATGAAAAGGTGGATCATCGGAAGGACCAACCCACTACCGCTGCTGTGCTGCTGGATACCCGATACCAGCTGGATGGAGGACGTGAGCCATGCTGGGCCACACTACTGTATAATAATAATAATAATAATAATAATAATAATAATAATTGACGGTTTATTGAAAAAGTTCTGCAGCCCGAAGGCTGAAAATATGC